AAACGAGCTTGATGGGCCGAATGGCCTCTCGTTTGTAAATTTCTTATGTTCTTATTGCAGGGCGTTTCCCTATGGTAATTAGGACAAACTGGCACGCGCCTTCAGTTACGAAGACGTGGGATTCATCATTCTTAAAAAAAAGGTGCGAACAATTCTGCTACTTAAGAACACATCATGAATCCGACGTAGGTTGTTCTGAACAAATTTCGTAGGAACATATTTAAGAGCATTCTTAAGAAAATATTGGTGAATGAGGCCCAATGATGGTAAGAGAAGAGAAAAGAATGGATAAGGGAAAAAGCAGCTCATGATCTGATGCATACCACATTATCTGTGAAGCATGGTGGAGGCAGTATTATGGCATGGGCATGTATGAGTACTAGTGGACCTGGATCACTAGTGATGATGATATGACTGCTGACAAAAGCAGCAGACATATATTCTAAAGTGTACATGTGTAACATATTAAAGTATTAAAAATAATTATATATTACTTATTTTAGTTTGTCAAATTACTTTTGAGCTCTTCACAACAGGGGGACTATGTATAAAAATAGCTGTCATTTCAAAAAGGTTCATAAATCACATCTTGATTGCTTAATTACAAATTAATAAAACTGTCACTGTCCAAACACGACTCACAGATCATAGAAATTAAAAGCCAAGTATATATTTAGAAAAGTCAAGATGCAAATAGCCCATCAAGTATCTTGTAAGCAACTCAAATAAGAGTATTGCGTTATTTCACCGTACTCCCGTATATAAGTTATTAATAAAAGTGAAATAAATGTATGCATTTGTACATTATCTCATTTCTATTATGCAAATCAGACAGACAACATGCAGGTTCATATGCGATCAGTAGGGGTCTTTGACCTCAAGTAGGAGTATCTTTAAAGAAGATTTTGCCCCCAAAAATTAATTATAACTGATTCTGAAATTACAAACTAATGCAGTTGATCCATCATCTTAATACTCAATTCATCACAATGCATCAATATATCATATCTTCACACTCCTAATGATCGCAGGGTGATGTAAAACAATGTGGCCATACTTGGTACTTCCTCGGCACATTATTATGTGCAGTGTTCCTGGGGTCTTCTGGTGGTCGTGCAGCCCCCGCCTCAGAGAGCGCAGTGATGGAATCAGCCAACTCTGGGGTCAGCCAGTGGCTAAAACAGTTTCCTTTATTTACGAAAGAGTCTGTGAAAGAATTTCCCATAATTCAACCAAGCATTGTAGCATCAGGTCACAAAAGCAGAGTTTCAATTTCACAATTTATCTGCTAAATTTTGGTAAAAACCTTCAACACACATCCTGAGAACTGCATTACCCTCAAGCTTTACATTTTCCAGGCATTTAACAGGCCATTGGCTTCTTAAAAAATGGGGGAAAAAAACTATGGGCTGATATTTATGCCACTAGAAACTGAATATGAATAGTGTATATTTGAATCTGCAGTTGTTGCATTAAAAAACTGAATCTGAATTTATTAGTTTGAATCTGAATTCCAATAACTTGAAACTACATTTATCCTACCTGGAAAATGTGACGCTCTATACTTACAATTTCACTTCTCCCAATTCAATTTCAGTTCGCAAATTCAATATCAATTTATTGAGACGCACAATCCGAATCTTTGAGGAAAAGTAATCGACCGCAGGTTCACAACGCAACTCATTTCCATGTTTACGACAGTTGTGCAGGATGTCGCAAGCGCAAATGTGGGATCATATATGCAGTCATCATATATATGTAATAAGAATTAAGCAGTACAGGTACTGCTATATTTTTATCTTTATAATACCACCACTTCTCACAAGTTGCCAGTTGCTCAGAGACTAGAGTAGAGTAGACTAGACTAGTTACCAGACTGCTATCTATAAAATTTGGCAAACAGGGAGGCTAGTGACCAAAAATAAATCTAAACTTTATTATGTAATATTCAGAAAATCATGTCAGGTCCTACAGTTTTAAAATCGCCAACCTATACAATATTCCTTGGAAGTTTGCTAAAAGATCCACAGAATACATTTATGGCTGTCGATGGCTATGTTGATCAGTTGGTGGCTGCAGGCTCCATTTTTGCTTTTGGCTAGCCTCTGTTTGCATTTTCAATTTTGCTGCCCTCTGTTGTTGCAGTTACAGTTTTGAATCAATTGTACCAATTGTACATTTTTAGGTGTAGATTTTCATCCATATAATGTTTTTGTGAAGTAGTAGTATGATCCATCAAATAGTTTCTGAGATCTCACGTTCATAATGTCAAATGTCATATGCTTTCACCTTTCCTTTTGCTGCCAATAAGCTGCACTGCTTCAACTTTAGGGTGATCAACCTCCAAATGTTGGTGATTACAAAGGGGTTACAGACAAATATACTTTTATGGTAAAAAGCTTATATGTAGAATATAACACTCATTTTGTTGCTTTGCATCTTTTCGCTGTGCAGAAATAACTTCTTTTGGCATGTTTCCAGACAATGTGGGTCAGCAAAGCCTTTGAGACTTTTCAGATTCATGGCCCAGTTTAAAACAGTTCTTATAAAAGTAACCAAAAAGTAATCAATTCAAATACAGTCAGTGAATTTTGAATTAAAATGAAAAACTAAGCCATTCCCATTCCAACTGAAATTAAAAGAAATGCCTACCTTGCTGCCAGCAGGCTTCCTGGCTTTGAAAGGGCTCTCCTACTGGTGTTAAGATCTGTATCAATGTGTCCTTAAACTGCTTAAAATCAACCTGCAATACATTCACAAAAATATTGTAGTTAAACTGTAATTAATATTTGAGTAGTTGGAATTCTGGAAGGACACTGGGTTTTCCTGCAAGTGTATGGCAGAAATACAAAAAGAACACCTACCATATGCATGTGTATCATATTCTAATATACTGCAAAGTAATGTATATGCTGAGTCTGACTCCACCTTCTTTTGACATTTCTCCTGCCTCCATGTGATTGCATTCTTACTAAACCATAATGTAAACAAGAATTTCACTGACAAGAGCTTCATAATTATGAAAAGGCATGTACAAACCGGATTCCAAAAAAGTTGGGACACTAAACAAATTGTGAATAATAACTGAATGCAATGATGTGGAGATGGCAAATGTCAATATTTTATTCAGAATAGAACATAAATCACGGAACAAAAGTTTAAACTGAGAAAATGTATCATTTTAAGGGAAAAATATGGTGATTCAAAATTTCACGGTGTCAACAAATCCCAAAAAAGTTGGGACAAGTAGCAATAAGAGGCTGGAAAAAGTTAATTTGAGCATAACGAAGAGCTGGAAGACCAATTAACACTAATTAGGTCAATTGGCAACATGATTGGGTATAAAAAGAGCTTCTCAGAGTGGCAGTGTCTCTCAGAAGCCAAGATGGGTAGAGGATCACCAATTCCCACAATGTTGCGCAGAAAGATAGTGGAGAAATATCAGAAAGATGTTACCCAGCGAAAAATTGCAAAGACTTTGCAGTTATCATCATCAACTGTGCATAACATCATCCGAAGATTCAGAGAATCTGGAACAATCTCTGTGCATAAGGGTCAAGGGCGTAAAACCATACTGGATGCCCATGATCTCCGGGCCCTTAAACGACACTGCACCACAAACAGGAATGCTACTGTAAAGGAAATCACAGAATGGGCTCAGGAATACTTCCAGAAACCATTGTTAGTGAACACAATCCACCATGCCATCCGTCGTTGCCAGCTGAAACTCTACAGTGCAAAGAAGAAGCCATTTCTAAGCAAGATCCACAAGCTCAGGCGTTTTCACTGGGCCAGGGATCATTTAAAATGGAGTGTGGCAAAATGGAAGACTGTTCTGTGGTCAGATGAGTCACGATTCGAAGTTCTTCTTGGAAATGTGGGACGCCATGTCATCCGGACCAAAGAGGGCAAGGACAACCCAAGTTTTTATCAACGCTCAGTTCAGAAGCCTGCATCTCTGATGGTATGGGGTTGCATGAGTGTGTGTGGCATGGGCAGCTTGCATGTCTGGAAAGGCACCATCAATGCAGAAAAATATATTCAGGTTCTAGTACAACATATGCGCCCATCCAGACGTCATCTGTTTAGACAGGGAAGACCCTGCATTTTTCAACAAGATAATGCCAGACCACATTCTGCATCAATCACAACATCATGGCTGCGTAGGAGAAGGATCCGGGTACTAGTGTTGTAGTTCTCGAGACCGGTCTTTTTGTGGTCTCGGTCTTGTCTTGGTCTCGACTCTATTTGGTCTCGGTCTTGTCTTGGTCTCAGACATAGCGGTCTCGATGGGATGGGGAAAAAAAGAGAAAACTGCACATCCTCACAGAACAGTATCATTATTTATTACGCGCCTCAATTCAAATGCAACCAGTCAGATGCATCCATTTCAAAAACGTTACATTTTATACATTTTTTCCACGGACACTGCCAGTGCTTCCCAGGCCACAAACA